AACTTATGTTAAGGATTATATAAAGATCACATACCTTGGCTTAGGAGGTGGTGTATCATCCATGTTAAAATTATTTTATTACTATTTGTTCAACCAAGTATTAATATTTATGTACTTTTCACTTATTATTCATAATTGATTTTAATACAAAATAACATGTGTAATTCTAAAATGGATAATAAATTATATAAAAATTATGCATATTTATTAGACAAGTATTATATATTGTCAATATTTGACTATATCCTGTGATCTATTACACTGTGATATATAATTTTATATGTTTGCAAAATTATGGTACATACAATTCAATAATGGTGTTAATCAGTTGTCATGTAATTGTAGTTTTAAGCCATAAATATTAATACTTGGTTGAACAAATAGTAATAAAATAATTTTAACATGGATGATACACCACCTCCTAAGCCAAGGTATGTGATCTTTATATAATCCTTAACATAAGTTAATCTGGTAAAAATATGTTAAAAATGGTAACTACAACATTAAAAATATAATGATAACTAACCATAAATAATAGGCGCCGAAAAAATAATGCAACAAATGATATGGTTGTGGATCAGTCGAGCGATAATACAATTGTACATGATGATATTGAGGAAATTGGGAAAACATTTGCTAAAACAACCCTGGATACATTGCCATCACAACAGGTAATACATGATCAATAAAAAAGCTAAAATGTAAATTATTATATTATTGATTTATTAGAAAATTATATATTTTTATGTTAAAAACTATACTAAAAAATGTAATGCATTTGAATTGCCATATTACTGATAAAACATACAGTATTTAGGTAAAACATGTATAGATTAGTACAGAGTATTTAGGTCAATAGATTGCATAAGACTATATTATTGTATCTTATTATATTTAATAATTAAATAATTAGTATAGTTTTTCATTAATAATATTGATATACACATGACTATTGAGTGAGGTTATTTTTAATTTAAAATTATATTTAATTTAGAAACGAGAGATTACAATACTATTGTTGGGACAGTCTGGTGTGGGAAAGTCCACATTTATAAATGCCCTGGTCAATTATTTATCATTTGAAAATATGGATGAGGCGAATGGACAACCAATATGTTTAATACCCGTAAGCTTTACGATAGCGGATCCAATGACAGTTAGACCAGTGAGCGTAACACTGGGTGACCAGGATTTCGATGAAAATACTGCTGACCCGACTAAATCGGCCACAAAAATACCGAAATGCTATAAATTTCAAAACGATAATATTGTGCTCAATATAATCGATACGCCGGGAGTTGCGGACACGGCTGGTGTGGATAAGGATCAGACACATATGCAAAATATATTGGATTTTATTAGCAATTATCGGGAAATAAACGCCTTTTGTGTGCTTTTAAAGCCAAACGATGCGAAGGTTGACGTCGTGTTTAAGTATTGTATGTTTCAATTGTTCACTCATTTGAATAAAAGCGCCGCAAATAATATACTTTTTCTGTTCACAAACTCCCGGAGCACTCATTATTTGCCCGGAGATTCCGGTCCGGCTTTGATCAGCCTTTTGGATCAAATAAAGGAAAGACCGCCAAATGTTGACATCATTTATAACAAGAAGACTACTTATTGTTTCGATTCCGAGTCCTTTCGATATCTCGTGGCTTCGGTTCCGCCAAATAATATACAGTTTGACTCGAAATATAAGTCTAGTTATGTTGAAAGTTGGGAGAGGTTTGTGAATTTTATTATATTAAAAATCACTACAATTTTAAATTTGAATTACAATGCCCTCAGTTTACTATTCAATAATTAAATATTACTTCCACAATATTGAATGATTAAAAAAATAATAGCATAAGTTTAAAATAAAACATACAGTTTTGCATAACAGTTGTAAAGCATAGCATAACATGCAGTTGCATAGCATAGCATAACTTTACATCCATAACTATACTTACAATACTTATTAATATAAAATAAATCTCTATTTAATGAACAATGAAACAGGTCTGTCGATGAATGTAAGCGTTTATTCAATTACATAACACAACTGCCGGCACACCAAGTGATGGACACCCTATCACTCAATAACGCCAAACAAATCATACAATTATTAGCCAAACCGTTGGCCGACATCACGAAGAATATATCGGATAACGTAATGAAATGCGAGAAACATATAACTAAACTCAATGAGTATAAGGGATCCATCGAAGAGCTACAGAAAAAGTTATACATACCGGTCGTTGACATCGTATCCGTACCGTTAGATCGACCCAAGACTGTGTGCGGCGCTGACCAGTGCTGCAAACGTCAAACAATTAAAGGGGTTACCGACACCAAATACACCGAATGCCATTCACCATGTTACCTACAATTTTACAACTCCAATATTATAGGTAGTATGAGTTTAATGAAATGCAAAGCGTTCAACAAGGACAGTAACAATGACCTAGCTCCTTATGAATCGAAACAATCGTGGTTGCGTCAAACATTTTTTGCTCAAAAAGGGTCAGAAAATTGCCTAAAATGTGGCCACAGTTACAAAAAGCACTTGACCTTGTTGTACGAGACACAGGCAAAAATTAGCAAGGTCACCGACCAAGAAGTGGACACTAGGATTAAGTCACATGAATCGGCTGTTGAGATGAAGGAGCGACAGATACAACGTCTGGCCCGACGTATCGTCGAGTTGAACGAAGAAAGCGATACAATAGTCTACTCTATGGCGACGTTTATCTACTTTCTGGCCAACAATGCGTTGACACCAATAAACGACGCGTTCGAAGACTACGTCCAGCACTTCATAGCAAACGAGCCGTACGCCCGATCGCCCGGTGCCGACAAATCTGTCACAAATGTTAGATTATCGCAGGTTTTGGAAAAATATGATCATGATAAAGTGTTACTTGAGGCGGCGATTAAATCACCTGAAGGTGATAAGGTCATTACGCTGGATGATATTCACGAATGCATTGATAAATTGTGCAAGCTCAAATATATGGGTAAAGTGATTACTAATATGCTCAACGAATTGAAGCAGATGAAAGTGACCATGCACGCAGATCAGAATCAGATGATTTACACCGCGCCGCCCGGTGCCAAATTTAACATGGATAAATTAATTAATGTTTAATTTTTAACCACAATTCAGTATGAA